CTCCAATTTATCTCCTAAATTCAGATCTCTGCCTATACCATATGTGCTCTCTGTAGTTTACCAGTATGCCAGGTAAAACCTATTCTTTCAGCTTGAAGACTTAGCATAAGAGACCTTTGGAAGAGAAAGAAAATATGATTCAACAGGTCAACAGCAGATACTGCTTTGTACTGTAATATCTTTCTCCCTTATTGCCTCACAACACAGTCTTGCAGGCTTTAAAAAATACTTTTCAGGCCTGGAGTCTGATACACAAACAAATGAGCACCTGTGAATCACTGTTCTCAGCCTACTCATATTTCAAATTATAAATGTTCCTTGTATTTAAGGCTAGGAAATTAATAGGGGAAAGCTAAAGAAAAGGTAACCAGGAATAAGGGTATTTTCTCTTTAAAATGCCCAGGTTTAAACTTTTTTCCCCTGGCTTAATGATGTAAAATTTCTACATTCTTCTAGTAATGTGGTTGTTAGCTGCAAATTATAGTGATTATGATACATTGTTAGAATATCCTGGATTGCAGCAAGCACAATCACCTATCACAGTCCATACTGCAAAAAGATACAACAGACAAGTCTAACACAGGATAAGTGCCTGAGAATTACACATGTATGCCTACAGAGCTGGAGTCTGTGGCTGAAATGGAAGAATATTGGCACAGGAACTGAGAACATAGAGCCCACATGTAAAATAGAATGAAGAAGGCGAAGTGATCTTAGGCATTGGTGGTGAGAGGAAAAGTTAAAATAAAACCACACAGAAATAGGAACTAGGGGTAAAACCCTAAGAACTAGGAAAAAAAAACCTACACAAGAAGTGTGGACTCGATACAGTAGGTGAGGAGATCACTGAAGGCAGTGATGCTGTCTGACCAATGGGAAAGGAAGACTAGCCTGGCCAATTTTAAACAATTGCAGATTAGTGTGAGAACGAAGAATGGGAGACTTCTGCTGGGGAAGCAGAAAACTAAGAGCCCACAAAAGAGATTTGGTTATGAGAAAGGAACGAGAGAATGCCTTGGAAGTAGTGCTAAAGCCCACTATACTAAACAGAGGCAAGAAAAGGCAAAACAGAAGCAGTACCACAAGCTTCAAGAACTGGGAAGTTAAGGCTGTTACCAGTGACACTGGTCACAGGTAAAAACTTGGTCAGAGACCATCTTCTAGTCAACTTTTGCCTCACAGGCTGACAGCTTCCCCTCAGATCTCTGTTGTCTCTTGTTCCTTGAGCCCAGAATTTTAAACATCTTATCCAAGCAAATGAGACAAAAGCAATTGTTTTCACTAATGTTCTGGTGGCTGCTGCACCACTAGAGGTCTGTCAAGAGAAATTCAGTAGGACCACTAAGGAATTCTATTCAAAACACTCTTTGTCTCACACTGTCAGTGACTAGGCCAATGATGACATCAAAGCCTTATAGGAAAAAAAAACTGCTGCTTTACGATGGCTCGATTTTGCATTTTCCCATTTGATTGCTATGTTTAGTACAGTTCTAGGTACTGAAGACATGGGTTAAACATTTCCTTATGGTGCTTCCAATTAAAATAGCTGTGTGTGTATGTGTACATATATTCTAAGCTGAACAGCAAAAGAATTTGACCTTTCCTCGATCTTTCTGTGCTGTAAGATCAAACACCTCATGTCGACACGCCTTTGTAGTTTAAAAGATGACAAGAGTCAGGATGTGCAGCAGTTACTTTTAAAAAAGCTTTCCATACAGTACAGTTTCAAATACTTGCATTAACTGAGTCTACATCATCTGAAAAGGCTGACACTGGTTTGGGAACCTTAACTTCTCTACATTTCATCTTACAGCTGTAAAATTTCTTTCAAGACAAAATGACTGTTTTACACTGGCAGGCAATGAAAGTTTTAGAGTAAAAAAAAAAGTCAAGGTCAGAAATCATTATCCAAACAGAACAGCCTTTCTCAACAGGGCTGCCTTCTGTATATATTCACTATCAAATACCCTAAGAGTGTTCCTACTTCTCTCAATTCCAATACATTACACAGATTTTTTTAACTGAAGCCTTCACCTTAGGCTGCAAGAACACCAAGGACTTCCAGAAAACAGTCATTCAGCTTTAGGGAGGGTTAAGTTTGAATGCCTGTATCAGAACACTTACTGTAAATAATAGAATGCAAGGTGGAGAAATCAACTTGATACTGTTACCCTGAGCATGTGGAGATGGTAGCTAGAAGAGGCAGTATTTTATACTGATGTGCAGAAAATTTGATTGAGTTGTTCTTGAGAGACAAACACAGTGCTATGGCATAAGCTTCACACACCACAGCTACATTCCAGGTAAATAAAATCTGCTCAGATTTTTAAGCACTGAGTCTTCAAACCTGAAATATGATTCTGTGAGTTTTTTCCTCAAATGTAATCATGTCAATATTATTGCATGCTGTAATTATGTCAATGCTGTTGAAAGCATTTCTGCTGTGGTCAAATAGGTCTGAAAAATGTCAATTATTTTATGCAAATAAATGGCTATATTGTGGCATATGTCTGCAAATGTCCACATCTTAATGAGACATTATCAGATGCAGCTGAGTGTTCAAAAGAATAAGCTCCTACCCCCTCCTATGCTCCCTTCAGGCACGAGGACAATACAGAAGCTTGAAGAGGAAAGGATTCCACTCATGCAAAACCCTCGACACAGCCTCCCAAAAGCCTCTGTCCATGAAGGAAGGGACTGGTTCAATTCCCAGATGCTCTGACTCTGTCCTCAGACACTGTTTGGACAGCTGTGTACTGGGACAGAACTAACCTACCAGAAAGCTAATTTCCAGCTCATCTGTAAGGGAGAGTTGAAAATGCATAGTTGAGGGTACCAGGGAAAGCAGAAAACTGCACTGAGGTTATCTTAAAACTACTGTGAAACTTCATGAGGACTGCGTGTCTCACCACACCCTTAAGCAGGGCATACTGGAAGCAAGAGAGCATCAAAGTGCCAGAGATCCTTTCAAGAAGTTCCTTTGGGAAGTTTAAGTTCTTTGCTGTGTTCATTAAACAAAACCCACAGAGTTTCAGCTTTCTTTTTATCTTTCTTTGGTACAGAGGAAGTACTTCAACCAAAACAAAAGCTACTACTTGAATGGAAAGAACATAGGCTCTCCAGAGCTTACAAGTCTGTGTCCATAAAAACACACATTAAGGGAAGATAACAGGATTGCAGACGACCTTACAGCTTTTACAGGTCATTGCCTACATTTCATTGTGGAATGGTGCCATTTTAATTCTACCTTTTTTAAGCAGGTTCTTATGATATAAATGGTTTAGCAATGCTGACAGTCTAGATCATCAGTGCCAGAAAAAGTTACAGATTGTAAGCAAAAAACACCCCAACCCAGGCTTTTGACTCTTCTGGGGCTTTGTACAACTCCCCCTTATAAAGCACCAAATTAAAGTCCTATTTTTAGTACAAGTCATGTGCTCTAACCTTGATTTTGGAAACAAATTCCACAGGTTATTTATCTGGAGGCCCTTTCATATAAAATATTATCAGGTGGCAAAAAAATATTATAATAGCTCTGAACCATGTGACTTATACTTTAGACCACTAGTAAATGATCTTTTAGAAGAGGTGTCAACCCAGACAAATGTGACTGTTTTACTGTAATACAACCTTTATAAATTGCTATATGTATATAAAAGAGTGCCCCAAAGGTTAAGTAGCTTATTACACTCTACAGGAAAAGATATTTAAAATCCACAACTGATTCAGTTGAAAAAATTTATATATCACCTATTATCCTTCTCCTTACCTATTATACAGAAAACAAAAATAACAATGTAGCTAAGGAAACTGTAGCTAACAGAATCTCTCAGACGTTGATTCTGGCTGCTGACCATCATCCAAGTATTGAAAACACTACTACTGCAGAAAAGTGAGACCAGTCAGCACCTATGCAAACACACAGCTTACAGCAAAAATGTCACCTAGTGATTACCATGAACTGAAAAAATACCCTGCTGAGTAATTAACTTCATCTGGGCAATTAACACAGGCTAAGTCTACAGACAAAAATAGCTATATGGGACAGAGAAAAAAAGAGAAAGAAATCTAGAAAAAAAAAAAGCAGACAGAAAGAACAAGCTTAAAATAAAATAATTGTGTCTGGTGTTGGTGCCAGAGAAGAACCAAACAAAAATTTAAAGTCTTCCTTTTCCTGACCATATTATCCACAGCAAAAACAGGTATCACATCAGTAGGAAAAGGGCACAGGCAAAGAAAGCACATCCTACACACAGCAGAACCCTAAGACAAAGCATTGCCTGAGCAGAAGAGTGAGTTGAGCCAATCATTCCTTTAAGGTACTTTTTTAATAGAAGTTTAGCAGCCATATGGCATGTGTGTCAATGCTGCAAAGGAGTGGTTGTGGAAGAGGATAACCTGCAGGTTTGTTCACTCTCTCATTCCTCAATACTAGCATTGCATGATGTGTGCTTATCTTGTACTGGGAACACAGCTGCCTAGCCCTTCCATCCCACCAACCTTACTCAGTGCAGGGTAACTTTCTCCATGTGACTTGACTGCATAAGGAGACCTTGGACCATTATGCTTTGTCACTGCTGCTATGGTGGCCTAGGACACCCATGCAATTGGTCCAGGACTGAGCTACAGGTTTCTGAATTCACATTATTTTTTTTTTCTTCTTTTCCAAACAGAGAAATAGTTTGGAAGAAAGAAAATAATCCAGAAAGAAGAAGTTTTCTCATGCCAGAGAAGACGGCAGTATAAATACCTATTCTAGTAGAAGAGAATAATCAATCACTTTACTAAGATGAATAAAGAAACAATATATAAAGAAGTCAACACAGCTGTCAAGTACCATCTTTTAATACCTGAATGTTTTTAGAAATTGCACAGCCATAGTTTTTATTATAAAGAGGAAAGAAAAAGCAACTACAAACCCTTCTTTACCTCTCTTAATATCGTCCAGCTGGGGCTCTGGCGAAGGATTATCCTTCAAAGGAGAAGTTTTAGGTCCAACTGCTGGCTTGGTTGGGGCTCTGAACTGTGAAGGAGGCTGAGATGCTCGGGCAGACTGTTGCTCTATTCGGGCTTGGATCTTACTGCTGCCCTCTGCTCTGAAGAAACAACCAGACACATTTAGTGGTACTGTGCAACTATGTCCAGCTTTTTCAATATCTGTGTGCTAATGCATCATCTGTGACTTCTTTTTGTACAGATCTCTAATTTGTTTTACAAAGATGAAGACTGAATTACAGCTTTCTGTATGCAACACTTACTTTCAATAACAAAGAATCATATACAGCTATACTGCAACATCCTTACAAAATGTATTTTCAAATCCAGATGTGGTTCAGTGATGCCAAATTCTCTACTTGAACAACAATGAACGCTTTAATTTAGCAATTAGTATTTGTATTTTTAAAAAAGAATAATCAATCATAGTAATTTAAAGTAACTACAAATCCATTCACAACAAAATCCTGCTTAAAATAATCACAGCGAAATAAACAATTTTCTCACTTGCAATTAAATAATCTCATACTGAACTCTCTTAGAGGTCAACTTTGCTAGAATAATCATTCTTACTGCTAAATACAGCATACAAGCATTTAATTCCTGGGTTTTATCCATTTGCTGTTAGCCCTTCAAAACAGTTTAAGCTGTTTCCTTAGTGGAAAATAGTTTCTAGAATAACACTATGCCATCCTGTTCAGTTCAAACCAGGTATTTCTGCCTTTTACTGAACTCATGATGTGACTGAGATTGCAGAATAATACCCTTGGAAGAAAAAGAAACCCAAAAAACCAACCACAAACCCAAAGTAGGTTCCTTTACAGTACACCATAATAGGGTTAAAGGGTGTGGTGTATTTATTACATAGCAGCAAAGCCTTTGGGGTTATGGCTTTGTGCAGTGCAGCACAGAAGCAGCTTGTGGGTATTAGAGCTCAGTTTCTGTTCTAGGAGGGTCCCAGCTCAGCAGGGTTACACTTTGTGTCTGGAAATGAATCCCACCGTAAGATAAGTTAAACTAGCTCACGTTGAACTTCCTGGGAATTCACCTAAACCACCTGTGGTACCAGAGCTGATACATGGAGCATTTACTGGGCTATCCTTGTGCCTCAGTGAACTCTAGATTCAGCCTCACATAGAACCCCCTCTTCATTCAGCAGTGACACACAGCTGTGTGTACCACATTAATGCAGCTTGCACTCTATCTACAGCAGAAATGAGGAGTTGGCAAGATACTCACTGTATCAAGTGGAAAGTAAAAGTCAAAGATTTCTAGTATTAATTATGCTCTTGGAACTACAGATGGTTTTATGTAGAGTTAGTTTACTTACTCCCTTGTGAATGTCATCAAGGCATTAACACTAAAAGCCCTATTCCCACGGAGTATCTCAGGTCATTAAAGATCAGAGCAGCCATGGCAAATATAAGGCACCTCTGATATAGAAAATCAGTGACTTTGCAAAGCACTATTCATCAAAACAGGGGTCCCCAAACTTTTTACTACCCTCCCTCTGCCAAAGAAAAATTGAAGTATTTTTCCCCACACCAGACTCAGAACTCAGTGTAACCAAACATCTCACAGAACTCAGGCCCTCTTGCACTTACTTGCTCCCTTCTGACTTAAGCTTCACCTGGACAAAGTCCAGCAGAACTGAAACTGGGAATTCAAATCTCATCTTTGATGTGCTCATATCCACTGGACAAGATGAATGCTAAATGGATGAATTTTCACATCACTGACTCAGAGGAGGGTTACAGTCCATTTACCTTGAAATCAAGGTGTTCCTGGCAAACACCCAGCCAACTACTGATGAGCTGCAACACACTTTTCTAGTAGTTTTAGCAGCTAAGGGTTCTATACTGCAACAAATGTTTTTTAATGTAAAACTTCTAAACTTATTTAACAGTTTCTTCTTCACAAGACATTTTAATGACTACATTCTCTTTAGGTCTCAACCTGTGATTCAGTGATGCTGAAAAGATCCAGACACTTCAGGTACCTGTAGAGCAGTAGGACTGCTAAAAACTTTCGAGCTGCATACTTTGTAGCATTTGTACAGCAGAGCACTGGGTCAGAAAGGATTTCTGGCTTCATCAATTCTTCTACGTAAAACACCATAACCATTATTTTTACAGCTCTGCCCACCTTCACCAGCTGGAGGCTTTGTACTTGTGTTCCACTTAATATATTGCTTATCCAGTATGGGAATGAGTGTTTCTTGTTCCCTAGGATTATGTTATTGAAGCATCATGTCTCCCACAGGAAGCTGCAGGGAACAAACCTAGAAAGTCCAATAATCCTTCTGACAGTCTAATATTTTAGTTTTTTTTTTTTTTTTTTTTACTTTCCCTTTTTTTTTTTTTTTTGTCAAAAATTTTTTTTTTTTTTTTTTTTTTTGCTAACTAGAGATTCTTGAAACACATCCCATCCTTCAGCCAGCATCTAAAGCCTCAAATCATCACAGGTGTTTCACTGCAAACTATAATTATGTCATTTCAGCTGTGGAGCATTTACAAACTCTTTACTCTTGGATTCACACTCCTATTCGCATTTTTAGGCATGATAATTTGCCATGTAAAGCTAATGCTTAGTAATAAAACATCACTACAAAATACAAGAGTTCTATTTCAAAATCCAGTCTTAGTAAGAAATTTCAACAATAATTAATCCTATCAAGAACCCTGTCCCCAGCTTTACCTTGTTTTCTTGACTTGAATGCTGCTACTAAGTTTTTCCAGCACATATTCCCCAGTGTCATGATTGATAATAAGCACACAATCCTTCTGATACGGCCTTTTATTTCCTTTAAAGACAGTCATTGGTGGAGTTGAACCCTGGTACAAAGAAAGAGCACATATTTGTTTGGTTATATTACTCTGTCCAACAATTTATGAATACTAAGAGGAAAGAATATATGCATTGTTCTGAAAAAGAGGCTAAGCACTTAATGTTTAGTTCCTACAGAAAATATTCATTCATGAAGAAAGAAATACAGAGAAAATATGCAGTAGATCAGACATTTCCTCACAGCAATATTATGCCTTTCATCATTTTAAGTGTCTCTGTAGTGACAAAACATCTTCGCTGTGGCTGCCTTTATTTACAGTTCTCATTCCCAAAATGGCAGTGTAACTAAATTTGCATAGCTGTCCCTGACAAGTATCAGAAATCTTCTTGATGTTTCTGCCCTGGAAATCATGTGTTTGGATAAAAAATAAAGTTCTAATTATTTGTGTAGCAGAACTATTGCCCAAGGTAATATGTGGTCAATTGAAAAATAATTTAAACTGCACCATATATTTTACATAAATATATATGGCAGTATTTTCACAGTGGATTACAATCAACTGTCACTTACAAACTATGTAAGAGCAGCTGCCTTCTTCAAAGTCAGATTAGCATGCATATGCCCATTAAATTATACTGAAATGTCTTCTCAAAGGCAAATGGGATATTTTGATGCTTTCCAGAAAGTCCCCAAGTCCACACAATGCTACACAGAGCCTTAAAAATCTAAAGGCTTAGACTGAGAAGCAAGAACCCTAAAAATCTCATGTGGTGGTGCACACTGGCTAACTGATAATGCTGAGATTATGCTCAGCTGTACTGCATGCATGCACAGCCTGGCTCATACACCTGGTTTTGATGTTACAGCCAGTGGAATCCATGATCTATCTGCACGTAATAGCATGGATACACACCTGGCCATGTCAAAAAGCTGTTACTCAAGGGGTTATGTTCTCAGCTATGAAACATTCTCAGGCTTCTCTGTAATGTGTAGATAATATATAAAATAATTTGTTTTAAAAAATAAATATTTATTCATATGCGTCTTTGCACATACTTTAGGAAAGCAACCAAAATCAGGGAGCAAATGAAAAAACCCTGCACTCTCCTGTATATAATTCTCAGTAGCAAAAATGAACAATCACAATTTAACTACTCTGAAAGCAATTCCTATTCTCCATGCTGCTAACAGATAGAATATATTTGAATTTAAAATGGGTTCTGAACAGTAAGTGTGAAAAATCTGAGTTCCTAACAAAGACACTGTAAGAGAGATTCAGAAATACGATTCAGAAAGACTGTCTCAATAAAGTCTCTTCAAAGGCATGTTACATTTTTATCATTCCTACATTTAAGAGAGGAAAGCAACATTTAAGAGAGTAAAAAGAAAGCTTAAAGTCAAATCCTGCTTGCTGTTGACAACTAAGCCAGGAAACGTATAACGCACAAACATAATGAAAATTGATCAAAGTTTGTTGGCTACCATTCTTCTACCCAGAAGCCTCCTAAAGCAGCAAAGGCTGTGATTTTGGCTAAACAGTAAGTAGGAATATAAGTGCTTAAGGAAATTAAGTCCCACTCTCCTACTTAAAACTAAATGTTTAGGGTTTATGTTAGTGCCTAAGTAACAGTGGCTTACAGACTTTGCTGATTACAGCACAGAATTGTTTTCACCTGTGAGGATTTTTTGCCTGACAAAGTTCAAGAAGCACTTGGATAACACTTTCAGGTACATGATGTAATCCTTGGGACTGTTCTGTGCAGGGTTAGGAGCTGGACTTTGATGATCCTTTGGGGACCCTTCCAACTCATGATATTCTATGATCTTCTTCTGTGTACTCTAACAAGCAGAAATTTTCCCTTCCCCAATCAGATTGTTTTTCAAATATTAAAGTCACTAAATCCACATGTAGTAATTCAATTTATCCAGGCTGCAAGAGACACCAAAATATTTACACCAAACAAATTACCAGAGATATTCTCAGGGATTAGGCAATTTCAAAAAGAAAACTTCAACTCAGAATTTGAATCCTATCCAATTGTTGGACAACTGAGAAGCAAAGCAGCATCCAAGAAATTCAGTGAAACTTGTCAGGATGAAACAATCTCAAAACCTCTAATTCTTTTTCAGTATGCCAAGTATTTTCCAGCTCTCTAGGCAGCACTGACTTGGAACAACATAGAGTGGCCTGGCTGCCTCAGCCTTTGGAGCATATAGTGAAGTCAAGGCTGTTCATACAGAGGACAAGAGAATTAAATTAAGCTCCTCAGTACAGAGATTTGGGAAGGAACATTACAATGCTGCTTAACACAAAAAAAATGAATAAGCAACACTATTTCCAACTAATCCAAGATGAATGCTACTGTTAGTTGTGCTGTTACCTGCTCTCCAATAGCACTACCATGCTCATCATTTCTGTAGACAAAAACCAGTATGTGACCTCCTGCTGCACTGAAGGTGACCAAAGCCAAATAATGAACAGGAGCAGGGTGACGCAGACTACAGCTTCATTCAGTGAGAATTATCACAGCACCATCACCTACGAATTAAAACCACAGGCATGCTGGGAAGAACAATACCAAAAGGATCTGACACATAGCTTCTAAACTGACTGTGCCCCCCTGCAGCTACCAGATCCATTGATGTCTGTGAATTCTGGTTTATTGGCTTGACACATAGCATTAACTTCAGCTAATAAACAAATCCAGTTCCAGTACACGAGCACTTTCTTTTGATTTGGTAAGGAAACCACTGAACCTTCAACAAACCAGCTGCACCTATAAACAGATTGATCATTTGTTTTATTGCTGTTTGATCATCATCCTCACACAGTAGATCTTTATGGCATCATTAGAGAAGGAAGTGGATGGGAAACTACTTCATGGCCACTCACCAGGACTGTCCTCTTGCTTCCACTGCTAAAGCTAAAGGCAGGGAACCCTCTATGCCCTATCTGTAAATGTTTGAGTAAGGGCAGGAACATGCTTACAGGTCTGCCTGTGGGTTCTGAACATCCAGCCTTGACTGAAGCCCAAATCACATTGCCTTTCTTCAGCAAGACATAGCACTAAAAATGGATGGGAACCAAGTGTACAGCTTCAGCTAATAGTAAAAGTCTTTTTGTCTCTCAAGGAAGAGTAGGAAGGAAGGAATCAAAAGTAAAGAACAATTTGGCAACCTTACAAATATAACCCTTTACAAAGATCTAACTGTACAGTCGTTTCCTAAGGCAAAAACTACAAGTCCAGCTGCTTAAATACTGAACCCACGGTGTTAATATAGAAAGTGAAAATAGCATTTACATTAGACTGTAACAACACTGCAAATTTGTTGGAGAGTAAAGAGGGACACATAGAGAACAGACTTACTGGAATATGTGGCAAAGTGATGGTAACATCATCTCCTTTACCCACTTGGAGGTCCCCCTCGCAAGACGTATCAATTGATGCTGGCTTAAAATCATCTAAAGAGGAAAACAATTGTGATTACATTTGTTAGAGTGTCCAGAAGCATCAACGTGCCCTGCAAAGAGCCACCAGCCACCATATGTTTACTGTAATTATAGGGAATGGTATATATTGTTTACAGCAAGAGTGGATGGAATAACACATCAGTACATTGTGTCTACATGTAGCAACCCAGTCATGTGGTGGTACCATATTCTGAACTTCCTTTTCAAAATGGAAATAATGTTCTAGATTTTATGTTTGAACACCAAAAGCAGACTTCTCCAAACCCAGACTTTGAGTGGCACTCAGTTTTAGAGGCAAGTGCAAAACTGCACCAAACTCAAGGGAGCAACAACTTCTAAAACCCTGGGCTCTGCTTAGCTGTTGCCAATTGCAAGCCTGAGGACTCCTCTGGGACAAACACTAATTTAATGACACTTGTGGAGGCCGGTAAACCAGCTAAGGAGAAAGTGACTAACTATAGTCCTGTGGAGGGACAACCCTTAAGCAACAACCTCTGGTCACAGCAAGGAAAAAGCTTCCCCCAGAATGCATTGTTGCCACAAGTTAATTCTGTGTATCCCACTGGCCCTTCCCCTTTGTTCCATCCCTGCGTCCTCATCTCATTCCTTCTGATGTTCTGCCCCATCCCTCGCTATCCCTGTATAAAGCCCTGCTCTCCCTGCCTGAAGGAGTTCTTTGTGCCTGGACCCCTTTGCAGTAAGAGCCTAAAGACCCTCTGTGGAATCCCATTCAAAGATTTCTGTCCCTTCCTTCTGCATCACTTGTGGCTGAAGTCACCCGAGAGCTGAAATCACTCGGCAAGAGTGAGTTGTGCCTGTGCACCAGGACGTCTTTTTAAACACACTTCTCTGGGAAGGTCATGGCTCTACCACCTCTGCCCACCCCAACAGACACTCACTCATTTAGTCTTACTGATATTTCACACTCTCTTAACATCCATCTTGCCTCCACAACAATGTTAAAAGCTCCACATGGGTGGAGGAGATCTCAATTTTCACTTATGAGGAAAAAAAGAGGTGCTGATCTTACTACAGCAGCTTCATGCTGGTCCAAAGCCACTGTGGATAGAAATCATCAGGAAGGGGAGGCATTGTACTGGATTTAAACTAACATTTATTTTAGGTATTTTTGCTCTGTTGTACACTGCTTTGTCTCCCAACCAAGGCACTTCTGTTTAATGTATTCATTTGAACTGAGGAAATTTTAAATTGAAAGTATTTTCTCCTCATTATTCTGTTGTGCTGGTGAGCCATAAAAAACCAGAAAAAAAACCCTATTAGAACGTCCAATATCTTGAGAGAGGATTTAAACAAATTGAAATAAAATCACACAGATATAGGCTAGTTTGCTTTGTGTTTGTTTTTATAAGAAGCCTGCATCCAACTCTAGCATCCCTGCATCTGAAGAGGTGCAATTATATTCACTATGAAGGCTTTTAATTACCACATTAGTTATGAACTTAATACCTTAGAACAAATTTAAAATATAACTCCACTAAGAAAAACATATTTGCAGGGAAAAAACTCCAAACTCTGTCTTGTAATAAATTCTCATTAAGAGGATGCTAATGTTTAATTGAGTTTTACTTTGACAGCACAACAAGCAGAATCAGACACACTTGACTTAATCCTCATGCCTTAACTGCCTGATCAAACCATAGACTTCAATTTAATCTGAGCAATCTGTTTCTAGCTATTGTTTCCCACCTACTTTATGTGCAAGCTTGCTAAATAAAATAAACCAGCTGTACAAGAACTAGTGTCTGCCAAAACAGGATCAAGAGTTTTAACAGCACAGTCACCAACTTAAAAGGAATATCACTACCAGACTTCTTTCTTAGGCACAGCAATACAGAGTTATTTTAAACAAACACTCAACTAATTGTTTTCATTTTGTTAGCACGTGCCTGACTAACCCTCATGTAGATCGAGAGCACATATTTCCCTCCAAATATACCCACAGCTCTTTTCCCAAAAATCAAATGTTTTCAAGGTGTGTTTTTAAAGGATAATCCAGTTTCTCAGTACAGGAATGAATCCAGGCCGAAGGTCGAATAAGAAGGTAGAAACAAATGTAGCCTACAAAATCCTCTCATTGTAGTTTGTGTGAAGAGGATTATGGCAATAATATAATGTTTGGATCCCATATAAATCATTCCAGAACAACAGTTAGGGGAAAAAAATAAAACAGGACAATGAAGAAATCTCATTTAAAAGTCACAGATGGAAAATAGAGCGTTCAGAAAGATCTTTTGAAATAAAACTGCATTCTTCCAGTTGTAGTCTGAAGAGCTTTGGCTTAGCAATCCCTTAGGAAATCTGTTATTAAAGCACTTTCCATTCTAGAAATCCTGTATACTTCCACCTGGATTTGGCTTGGGTTTAATTCACACAGGATCAGGCACTTGGGTGACCAGTATCACTGAAACTACTATTTGTGGTGTACGAATATGGACAAGGAGACCAGGCCTATATTTGTGCATCATAAACCAAAATATCCTACTGTTGTCTGTATAAATTCCCCCACTTCCATAGAAAACTACTAAATTATAAGTTTAATATTATTTACATTTACTTTTGATGGTTTACTAGTCATTTTAGTAATAAAAACAGGACTTGTTTTGCTCAGATTTCTTACCCCACAGAACTCAATTACAGGAATACAGTGAGTTCCTCTTCAAAACAATCTACCTCAGGATCTATCTTGCACTTTTTAGGCATTACTGTAAGTGTGAGTCCCTTCTGCTTGCTTTCCTGGGATAGGGAAAGCTGGCTGGAGTCAGGACAGCCAGGGACAGGTCTACTGGGCTACACATTGCAGCAAAACACTCAGTTAAAAACCCAATTCTGGATGCTCCGGCTGCCCTGCCGGGCCGGGCCTGCGGTGGGACCTGTCCTGCAGTTAATTGCCATAAAGATCAAAATAAGATGGCAAAGCCACCGCCTTACGGTAGGAACTCATCATGCTTCCTAGCGATTAATGACAAACTTTCTCAAGCTGCTCCTTCGCCTTGGCGTGCCTCGCTCAAACCCCCTCCCCGCCAGCATCCAGCTTCCCCTTCTCCCCCCGCTGGACCCTCTGAGGGGAAAGCACCCGTGGAGAGGAACGCCGGGCCGAGGGAGCGGCAAAGGGAGGAGGCGGGCGCTGGAGGGGATCGGAGGGAAGGGGGAGGCGGGCGGTGAGGGGGCAGGAGGGGAGCGGCTCGCAGGGCGCTGGAGGGGACGGAGCCCCGCGGTGGCGGAGCGGAGCGGGCGAGCAGAGCGGCGGCGGGGGCGCGGCAGCCGCAGCAGCGCGGCCGGGGGACGGGACGCGAGCGGGGAGGAGGAGGCGGCCGCGGGGGAGGCGCTCACAGCGGATGGTGTGGAAGGAGGCCTTGGGCCGCCGCTCGAAGCTCTCGCCCAGCTGCAGCGGGTGCTCCTCCTTGTCCAGCAACGAGTTCGCCGAGCCGTTCATGGCCCCGCTCCCGGCCCGGCCCGTCCCTTCCCTCTCCTCCGTGCGCTGCCGCCCCGCGTCCTCCCGGAAATTCTTGGCTTTCCCTTCCGGGAACCCTCTCCGGGGCTGGCGGCGGGTACGGCGGGGCGCGGCGGGGGCCCGGGGCCGGGCTGGGGCTGCTGCCCGGGAAGGGTCCCCGGGGAGGCGGGAGCCCGGCGCTCCCCGCCCTCGGCAGGGCAGGGCAGGGCAGGAGGGGCTTTCCTTTCCTTCCCTGCCGGGGTACGAGCTGCTGGAGGGTAGCCGGTTCCGTCTGGGGGACCGGGGGGGTCATGCAGAGGTGTTACATGTTGGTGCACTTAGCTCTGGATTGAACACCTTTAAAAGGCTCTTTAAGCTAAGCACGGGCTGCTGCGATTGAGTTTATCATCGCGCTGCCTTCCCAGCGCCGCTGATGCGTCACTGAAAGGACTGCGCGCGTTTGTTTCCCTCGCTCGGTCTGTGATGAAATAATGGAGCGTGCCTACGTTAGAGGCCGGTGGAGAAAGACGGCAGAAATGTTGCTGATTAAGTTTTTGTCTGTTTGTTTTGAGGATATGCTCTTCCTGAAGAGACGTCCTTTCAAAGGAGCCTCTTCTTCATGACCGCTTCTGCTGTTCATGGAGCAGAAGGGGGTGTGTCTGTGACACTGGACGAAATTCTGACTGTTCTTTTCTTCATTTGCTCACTTCCGTATTTTATGTTTGTGTTTGTCTCATGACATGTATATATCATGATATCATCATATGTATCACACATAACATATGCATACAATCCATTATATGTATCATAGAATGTATTTTATCATAAGGTAAAATACACAACTAAAGTACCGGTCTTGTTTGCTTATTTGTTTGTTTTAGGGTGTGTATTGTTGTGGATTTCTCTTTTTTTTTTTGGTAAATTGACACCATAGCCTGGCTCTGGGCACTGATGTATACAAGTGTGTTTGCTGCCTGGGCTTCCCTAGAAGTTACTGGGGCATGCAGGATTTAATTCCCACGTTCCATCATCCAGGATCTGCTTGTTTATGACAAGGCAGGTGTCATAACCAGTTTAACATCAGAGAAAATATTTTACTCCCTTCCCAGCCTATGTGAAGTTCTTTTTGTTAACTTCTGAAAATAAAAACATCTGTGATTATTAAAACCAGTGTGAATCCTCAGGAGGAGACAGTGGGATGAATGCTGGCACAGACCAGCTCTGGGCATTTTGGCCACAGTGCTGGTTTTTCTCTCTTCTTTAGGTGACACGGTGTTACAAATGCTGTTGTTTTCACCAGTGTTTTCTCACAGAGCTGAGAGCAGGAAGGAGAAATGCTACTATGAATATGCTTTGTTTCATTAATTTTAATTGACTCTTAAATGTCATCTTTTCTTAAGTTACCTTTTTTTTTTCTGAAGTGTTCTTAATGAGGTTAATGAGAAACAAAGCCCTTGCTTTCCTTCTCAAGTCTCTTTTAGTGAAAATAGAGTTGCACCATCTTTTTCTTGTTTGGTAGCTCCCTGGAATGTAGAGGGAAGACTAGGAGACTGAAGTATCTTCTTTAACTTTGACATCAGTGTGATGTTGTATACAGTTCTTAGTTTAGATGAAGATTTTCTAAAATAAAGAGAAATCTTGATATACGAGTCCATCAGGTAGGACAGATCGGTGGCATTCACATTCTTTGGACAGAGAGACATAATTCTGTCTCTCAGGAGAAGCACAGAGAGAAAAGATAAAACAATCTTTAGCTCTGCTCCTTTGTTTTCCCCATGTGGAATTTGGTATGGAGATTGTTCACCTGAATTGATTGCTTGATTGGATTCTGGTGAAGGTTTTTTGGGTTCAATGACCAATTCGATCCAGCTGTGTCTCGGATGCTCAGCAGGCAGCCACGAATTTGCTAGTTAGTTGGTATGTAAGTAAGAAGTATGTATGTAGACTAGGATAGTCTCTCTTTAAGTTGGATATTAATGTAATATAGTATAGTTTTAATAAAGATATCCTTCAGCCTTCTGATCTGGAGCCAGACATCATCATTTCTTCCCTGTTGGGGTTGCCTTTTTTTACTATACAGATCAATAAAGTTGTAGTAAGTGCATACTGTAATTATCTCTCATCTTTAATTCTGCTTCTAGATCCTCACTTGTTTTACTTAAGTTAAGTGATGGAACCATATACTGAAGAAAAAAAATCATCCTGGGGTCCTTGGTGTTCATGTTTGTGTGAAAGAATCTAGGATGTTCCAAGAAAAGGCGTCAGCGAATTGCTTAAATATAGTAACAACATCTACTGAAGATGGTGCTTTCCAAAAAAAGGGCCATAGTGCTCGAGTCCTTAGCCCAGAAGAAGCTGAAAGACTGGCAAAAGATCAGGTTCTGGTGTCTGAGTTCAAACAACTGAAACTGGAGAAAGAGGCACAGAAGAACTGGGATCTCTTTTACAAAAGAAACAGCACCAACTTCTTCAAAGACAGACATTGGACAACTAGAGAGTTTCAAGAGTTAAAAGCATGTCGTGAGGTGAGATCTATACAGTTCTGCTGTAAAAGATTGATTGTTTCCAATCAGTTGTTTCCAGGGGAGTTAATAATACTTACAAGAAAGCCATTTGGGTAAGAGCTGCCACATATAAAGTTTGCAGTGCCCTGTATATTTTAATATCAAAAATAACTTCTCAGAATCATATGCATTAGTTTAGTTTCAGTTTATAATTGGCCCTTACTGGATGGGGATGCTGTTTATAGCATCCTGGATGCTGAGAATGAAGTCTGGAATATTTGGTTTTTGAGTCCTAAAGCAGACAGCTTGTCTCTCTGTGTGCAAGCTGGTGCACTTCAGTACACTCCTTTAGAGAAAAGCATCCAGAATTGCAGGCTAATTGCTGGACACAGTTAAGGGGAATAGCCAGATGCATCTGTTGTTCCTTACAGCTGAATGAATGACAAGACAGAGATGGCACAAGTCTGTTGATTACTTAAGAGGTAGATGACTGAAGAAATATTAACATGTTCTAAAAGTATTTCTAATTTTGTGGAAATCAGGATATCTGGGTTTTGGTGTCAGATTATGCACTGGCTGTCTGGTTTTTTTTTTGGTTTTTTTTTAAGAATCGTAATTAAAATTGATTATAGCTTTTAAAATGGTGGTTGGACAGTGCTTCTGCTGATATGATGAGAAAACAAAAGTTATGTTTTGTCTTCTATTGCTTTATCTCCAGTTTGCAGATCAAAAACTGACCATTCTGGAAGCAGGCTGCGGGGTTGGAAACTGCTTGTTTCCACTCTTAGAAGAAGATATGAATATTTTTGCATATGCCTGTGATTTCTCTCCTAGAGCTGTTGACTATGTGAAGGTTGGTGTGATATTTGGAACTTCTTTTAGAGTGTTTTTTAGAAGCTTCTAAAATTACAAATGACTGTAACAACAGACTTCTCTTGGTTACCTTTTTGTAGGAAGGGTAGAATATGCTTTGCCAAAAAAATTTAGTCTGATTCGTTTCTGTGGAGATCCTGTGTAAGAAGGCAAATCATTGTTCAAGACTTGGCTTTTTAGTGTCATATTAGAGCATTATGGTATATTACTTTAATTATTTATGAAGATAGTGTTTTTTGGTAGCCCTACTATATCTCTGCTGACTGTGCAGTAAAAGCAAAATTTTGGTTGTCGTGGAAGCTTGTCCTTAATAGACAGAGTCCAAGGAGAACCTTAAAAGCAAGGCTGGGAAAATTATTGTTAAAGGAATTTGTAACCTGCTTAGGAGTAGATGTGTTTACACTTAGTTGTGGGTACTGCAGTCCAGAGTCGAGCCTTGCAGTACTTCTGGTGGGGACTTTGGGCATTAAAAGTCTTTATGAAGTTTGTAATCACAGGTAAATGTCTATATATCTGTTAACTGAAAGCATTGTGACCAAGAACTACATGACACAGACAGCATTTGTCATGCGATAGATGGGAAGAAATACCTGTGGCAAAAAGAAGAGGACAGCAGCTCCCTGGGATGCTGTGGCTGCACCCCAAGATGAGGTTGGGCTGAGCGTGTACCCTGGGTTTTGGATGACTTAATGGCATCTGCCTCCACAGCTCTTGCTGAATTTATTTTTTGCCAACACTGGGTTTTATTTTCCACAGCAAAACTGTTGGCTAGAGCAGCCCAGCTAGAGATTGATTATGTGCAAACCCCAACTGTTTGGAGTTTACCTGTAGTTCAAGAGCTTTACTTTCATCACCCTGTGGGATGTAATTTCTTTCAACAGTAATTATGTCTTCTTTTAAGAATAGAAGGAGTAAAAGGAATAAAACAGAAATATTATGTTTTCTGTATTGTTTTAATGCACATTCCTTCTCAAATTAATGGGAACAGACTATTTTACTAGTTGTAGTTTCACTATTATAGTCAGCAACAAAGAATTTCTGATTGCAGTAGCTGCCTGTTGGAGGTTAATATTCTCTTGCCACTGTGTTTTGTGTGTCTCTACTGATTAATTTCACAAGATTTTTTCTTTATTGTAGCAACAAATGCTGTTCATTTTCAGTGAAAGTTTGCTCTTTTAATTTCCCTAGAAAAATGCTTTATATAGTACTGAAAGGTGTAAAGTGTTCCAGTGTGATCTTACCAAAGATGATCTTCTAGACAATATACCAGCAGATTCTGTGGATGTTGTCACACTTATATTTGTGCTTTCTGCCATTCATCCTGACAAAATGCATCTTGTCCTGAGGAACATTTATAAGGTAAAACCAGCTGATTTTACAGCCTTTAAAGCACTGCCCTTCTTTTTAGCTCAAAAGTATATTTTATTCCTGAGAAAATTACTCTCTTGCAATAGCCATTTTTCATATTATATTCCATGGGTGTATTTTGTTAGTGCACTGAGAATGCAAGACTAAAATATGTTTTACAATGACCTTTTTTTTCCTGCTGGTATTGTGAGATTGTTTGGATTGAGGCCTAATTCATGCCATCAGTGTAACAAAAAGATATCTAAAATGTGGCCTTCACTTGAAAGGGGCTTACAGGAAAGATGGAGAGAGATTTCTATAAGAGCGAGCATGTAGTGACAAGGAAGGGGAATGGATTCAAACTGAGAGTAGGTTTAGATTAGATAGTAGGAAGAAATTCTTTAGGGAGGTGCTGGTATAGATTGCTCAGAGAAGCTGTGGGTGCCCTACTTTTGGAAGTGTTCAAGGCCAGGAGAAATGGGACTTTGAGCAACCTGGTCTGGTGGAAGTTGTCCCTGCCCATTGCAGGGCAGCTGGAACCAGGTGATCTTTCAGCCCCCTTCTATCCCAGGCCACTCTATGACTGTATGATTTTAAAGCTATTACTTGGGTTGTGTGCTATGAATAATGTTTATATATTGCAGGGCTGACTGTGTTCATAAGGTGTGACTCATAGTGAGCCAAAATTAACTTCCAGAGATCCAGTGACCTGCAGTTAGTATGTTGCTGTTATTATGAAACATATTTGACCTGTGGTGATTTAAAAGTGGAGTTTTCAGATGTCAACATCAATCTTGAGAGACTCATCTCCCTAAGCTGTCTTGGTTAGTTGATAGACTGGGATAGGCCCATCCAAAGGGTGGTTTAAACAGCCTGAATTGTTATTGTTCTGAATTTTTCTGTCATATATTGACTGCAGAGGAAAGTAATCAACATATTTTTTTACTTTTGCATATGTGTGTACCAAAGTTCTTGTATTTTCTGATATTATTTGGCTTATTATCAGCAGTTTGAAAAATGAATATTAGAGGTTTTTTTTATATCTCCAGCTGTTTTCCAATATCAGGATTGGTTCTTAGCTCATAGAAATATCTAGATATCTAGAATCAGCATGGGCAATGACCATGTATTTATAAATTTTAAACTCTTTATAGCTTGTTTTCTTTACCAAGATTTAAAAAATTCATTATGCACTTTCCTAAAATGTTTTCTTATTTATTTTACAACATATTGCAACATTTTTTCTTTCTCCTGTGAAAAAAGAAATGTCATGATATTCTAAAGTTTATTGTTAACCATTAAACAAAATCAGGTGCTAAACAGGTTACTAGCCAACAGAAAAAATGTCCTGATGGGAATTTTTGTTAAGCTGTGTATTTTCTTCTTTCCTCTGTGTTTGAAGAGTGTTGCTAATTTAGCTGATCAGCACCCAAATAGGTATTCTAAAAGTAGTTGTAGTCTTTTATTCATGGGGAAACATTTTAAAGAGTCAATCCAGTTTTTACAAAACCTTTTTGTTGCATGGGGAATTAATTTTATCTATATCTAGCTACATCTATCTATAGATATAGATATCTATCTCACTGTTGTATTTACTGTGCTGCTATGTCTGTATGTGTACACAAGTAAATATACCTATATATGACTGAATTTGTTAGCTTATTTAAAGCATGTGTGTATTATGTGACAGGTATTAAAACCAGGCAAGTGTGTCCTGTTCCGAGACTATGGCCTGTATGATCATGCAATGCTCAGGTTTAAATCAGGTAGCAAACTTGGGGAAAACTTTTATGTCAGACAAGATGGGACAAGATCATATTTTTTTACTGAAGGTAAGGCATGTTGTAGAGTGCTTTCTTTTCTGTGCATCTTCTGTTCAAACTTTTTCCAGAAAACTGCCAGCATGCCCATGGAAGTTTTATTTCGTGTGGACAAACTGTTAAATTGTGGTTTATTTCATTTAGCATCCTTTTTGGGAAGAAGCAGTTATTCAGATTGGCAGAACTTTGTGGAGTACTTTCTTGTTTATAAGCTTATTGTATATGCTGTAATTCTCCGAGAGCAGCTGTTTCTGAATTTGCTGTATTTCATTCAGATTTGTTACCTAAGGGGAAAAGACCTATGTTCAGTAAGAGAATTGATCATCTTCATGAAGCAAGTAAGCAGTTCTTTTGGCATCATTCTTTGTGCAGGACTATTTCTGGTGAGCAGGATGAGGTCTATTGGTTTCTAGAAGCAGAACCACCACTGCAGCACTGAGAAGCTTGTGCACAATTCCTGCTGGGATAGCACTGACTAGCTGTGGTCACTCTGTCTTCTAGGGTTTGTTTTTTAGTGAAGACAATGGAAAAAATCACTTCCATGTGATACAGTATTAGGTCTTTGTTGAGTGCTCATAATGGTTTAGGAGGAAAGGTAGTTATTGCAGTTCACTGGTGGGGAATTTGAAGCTCAGAGACATGAAGGAATTTACTTAAACTCTCACAATGAATTGGGATTATAGCTTGGCTATACCTTCTAACTCCCAATTCCTCATGCTAAACTCGCTATACTCCCCCATCATTTGTAGAGCATTGTGTAGCAAGAGCTGTGAATTTATTTCTGTGGGGTTCTTTGTTCTTAGTCTAAAGCAAGATGCAGCTGCTGAATAGACTGATTTGTAGCCAAGTAAATGTTATTCATATTTTATGCCATAACATATTAACTAATTGCTTTTGACACACAAAAACTATTAATCTTGTCTGAGCTTCCCCCCATTCTTCATGGGACAATGATGAAATCTAAGATAATGCAGGCTGTGCTACAGCTTCATTGAAGCATTTCTAGAACTGTTATTTATTGAGTGAATTTTAGTTCTGTTTAAACAATTAGCTCTTACAAAGGGAAGGGATGCTAAAGGGAGCAAATAAGAGACTGACCTATCTGTGGAATTTTAAATCTCATTTTTATTTTGTTTTAGAATAGTTTCTGAATGAGAAGTTCCTTGTTAGTATGCATGTTTCCCTTGTGAGAAGAATTGAGGCAGGGATAAGGAAGAGGAAGGAAAGAGAAAAAAGAATTTATTTTATATTGCTCACGTCATCGATTGTTTTTCCTTGGGCTGGTCTGTGGCTGTCTCACAGATCACATCTACTCCCATTTTTAATCATTCTGATCTTGTTCATTTCACAGATTTTCATAAAAACATTGCTTAATACTTGAGAATTCTTTTGTTACTGGAGACATGACTCCCATGATTTCCACAGAGGCTGCAACCCTTGCTATTTTTTTATTTCTTTAGTACTACATTGGTACACCAAATTATTGTTGCATGGGGTGATTTGAATTATACTTATTTATAATATATCTGGCCTCAGATGGCAACACAGAACTTCTTCCATGGGGAAAAAAAATTCCATTCTTCTACTGTTTGAAATAATACTAAATTTGTGGAGGAACACATGGTTGTAGGTTTGTATTATGAAATATGTGCAGCTTCCTTACAATAAGATTTCAATAGGTCCACAATGGAGTGCTGTTTATTTGTATTTCATTGGTGAGGATCCCCCATTTTACATGAACACACAATGTTTACAGCCATGGTGGGCTTGAGTTGATATAATCCTGCAGTGCCACCAAAGTGGGTGGTCTCATCTTCCTCAACACACCATCTCTGGTGGTGCTTCCTGTACCCACATGATCACTGATTCATCGAGCTAATCCCCCTGAACAGTGAAAATGGAATGTCTTTGTTTTCCGTCAAGTAACACAAGTTTAGAACAGCTTAAATTTACTCTGAAATTGCTGCCTGAGTAGGTGAACTGAGGTGCAAGAAAGGAAAAATGATGATTTTTAATTAACAAGTCAATAGCATGAGCAGACCTTCATGCTGTACAGATCACTCTGCTTGTGAGGTGGTTCTGCCTTCCTTAAGGGAGATAGGCTCTGAGTAAAATTTGTTTAAGGAAAATACTTTCAGATCAACTTAGTGGAGTCTTGGTACCTCTTTGCCAGTTTTTCTGTTGAGCAATTTCATGTAACATTAGTTGTTACTCTTTGCTGAGCAGAGGTGCATCTACACAGCTGGATTACTTTTGAAATATTTGTGGTAAGTGATGTATTCAGCTAGTGAAGGTCAGCTGCACAAAGGGAAAATGCACTGGTGTCTGTCACAATGAGAATGACAAATCTTAATAAAAATAAGAGATGTGGCAATTTTTGGAAATTCAACTGAGTAACTAGCTTAAGCCCCAGTTTTAAAAGCTGTTTTGCTTAGGCTGCTGTTTCCAAAGGAGATCTTTATTGGTTTTTATTCAGCAGTCTGTCCACATAGAACAGCTTGAAATCTAAAGGCCTGTGTGATTTTCATGCTGTAACACATAAGAACATATGCTTATATAAATGGTGTCTGGTGTTTTAAAAATAGCTTAAACATAATATTTTATCTTCTTTTTTTTTTTAATTCTCTTTCAGAGTTCTTATCTCAGCTTTTCAAGGCTGAGGGATATGAGCAAGTGGTCAATGAATATGTGCAGCGAGAAACTGTGAATAGGAAAGAAGACTTGCATGTTCCAAGAGTGTTTCTTCAAAGCAAATTTCAAAAGCCTTTCAGTGAGACATAAGTTCTTGCTGATTAGCAACAGCATTGGTTGTTTGAAGTGGAAGCTAGCACATAAGCTGTGTGCTCATCTTTCTGGTGAACCAAAAATGTTGGCATCCAGTATCTCTTGTTGGTTTCCATCGTAGGATACAAAATAAGAATGCTATTTCTAATTCAATTTTAAGATGGTTTAGTGAGGCGGGCAACTTGTTCAGCATCTGTATTCCTGCTTCTAAAATAAAACCTGTGCAACGTTGATGGAGGATCAGGTAAAGCATATAAATAAATTTCAATTTTTATTAAAAACTATTTTTAAATAAATATCCTGTGTTTCCTGTCACTTGTGATTTTTGAGGCTTGTTAAAGTTACAATATTTCATTTACTTTCAGTGCTTGTATGACTTCTGAGTGTACTTTCTCAGATACAGGAATGAAACAGACTCAGTGAGCAGTATAGTGTAAGCTGCCTTAATATTTTAATAGTGGTATCTTTTTAATATGCTCAGCCTTTAGATGTGTAAACAAATGTTTATATTCAGAGTAAGTTCCTAATTTATCTGATTTCATGCTTGAAGAAGCATGATCAGGTTGTATTTATCCCTAATTAATTTAAGATATTCGTCATTTAATGTGCAGAAATAATTGAAGTTTTGCAAGTCGGTTTCCTGTTTGAAACTGAAATCAGCAAGTCAGGAGTACTTTCTTTGATATGAAGTGTAGTCAGCTGCTTCTTGCCTGGGCAGAGGTCTTAAGTCTTTTCCATCACTCCCAGGAAAGTTATGTTGGTCTTTGCTCTTCCTGCCACTAAAAGCTGCTGCAGGTGTAACTGCTTGAAGGAGCTTCATCCTTTCCTTATAGCTCTTTGCCCTGTGGCACTTTGCACTGCAGGACCTTTTCTGTGTTCTTGGATGTTGTAGTTTCAAAATCATGCCTAGGTCTTTAACCTGCATTTTGAGCAGCTGCAGTGCAGCAGAGGAAGCCCAGCAGTATCCGGTGACTTGTGCAATGGCTTGTGCTAATCATGTGTAATGTACACAATTTGCAACAGGGGAAATTCCAGTGAAATACTAAAGGGGAGATCAAATGCTGAGGCAGTGCTCAGAGAAATTGTGGAGCCTTCATTCTTGGGAATACTTGGAATAAGATCAGCCAAGGCCTTGAGCATCCTGTGACTTTGAGGGTGGCCCTGCTCCGAGTAGGGATTTAATCTCTGGCTGTATATATGAGTATGTGATTGCTTAATGCAAGCTGTCATTCAGCTGGACTTGTGTGCTGTTAGATGACCCAGTTATACACATCTGATATGGACCAGAGGTGACTTTTTCCCTCTGTTTATGACATAGGATATAATAATGATTTTTTCCCCATGATCTTAACACTGGGTGTATTGTGCATGAAATGAAAGAAATAATAATTTTCCAGCCTAAACCTTAAAGCTACAAAATTAACCAGTCAAAATTTTTTTTAACATATTGGAGCTGCCAAAGGTCTTATTCAGTTGATATAGTTAGAAATAAATTTGCAACAGATCACAAATCTTTGGCCTCAGAGAAAAAAATGCTTAAATCATTCACAATTCTCCTAATGACCCTTTGAGGAGGGTTATTACATGTCATCTCCTTTTTTTTATGGAGAGTATTATCCCAGAGATTTATGCATTGCTGGCCCCTGCTGTGCAACCCATTAGCTCTTTCTGCCATGCTAGTAATAAATATCTAGTAATACTTACAGTAAATGAAAAATTATTGCTAAAAAGAGATATAATGATGACAGCACTATCCTGATCTGAGATATCATTATTTGGTGGCTTTCATCAGCACATGTTCATCTTTAGCATAGCAGTTTTGCAATGACCACATGTAATCTGAGCTCTGTTGATATTTAGTGGTGTTTGCAGCCTGTAACTCCAAGTGCCTTTCAGGGCTGGAGGCTTGGTGCTTTTGGAGAATACAGCACAGACTGAAGGAATGCCTTGCATGGTGCCTTGCATGGTGCTGTGTGCTTATCATCATATGCAAAGGCAAGTGCAATGAACTGTTCATTCCCCAAAAGGAAATGTGATGTAGGCAAGAATCAAAAATGTTAATCAGAAGACCTGAATCAGCCCAATAAATATAGCTAATAGATTCAGACAGCCACTTAGTTCCTTTTTACACTGAACTATTGCCAGAACAATAATACATGTTTCTGTGTGTGGCTATAGCTTCAGTATTTCTGTGTACACTTTTTTTGTAGCAGCATGTTAAATGGAGAGCAGTCTTTCTAACTTTTTTATTACATCTCATCCAGTCTCATTTCCAGTCAGACCTGCAAAATAAAGTAGCATGCATGAATGCCCCTGCCAGAAAGATCTTCTGCTATAGTTCTCATAAAGCAGATGTTATTTTGACATGAATGGTCAGAAATGTTAATTTAGTTTCTATGACTCTTCTTCTGTGGACTTTAAATCATGGCATTTTTTTGTAACTGTGGTAAAGTTTGAGGAAGTTGAGTCAGCTTTAAGAAATCTTTGCCTCATCATGTGAGACATAGTAACTGATGGGGTGCATGTGGTTGGTGCAGTGCTGCGTAAAGTGGATCCATTCCCCCAGCTCTTCAGCCTTCCCAGCTCAAGTATGTTCACCAGCAGCACATGCCAACAATACCTGTACCTTGTATCCTTGAACAAACTGCAGTGATGGGACAAGGAGTTACTGGTTCAGACTGAGAGAGGGGAAAATTTAGGTTAGATGTATGGAAGAAATTCTTTACCATGAGGGTGGTGAAGCCTTGGAGCAGATTGCCCAGAGAAGCTAGGGATTCTCCATCCCTGGCAGTGTTCAAGGCTGGGCTGGATGGGACTCTGATCAACCATGGCAGGGGGATTGGAATTAGATGATCTTGAAGGTCCTTTCCAACCCAAACCATTCTGTGTAGAACTGTCCTTGGGAAATGTAGTAATCAGGGATAATGGTGTTAAAATGACTTGAAAAAAGCATATATGCACTGAGTCATGCTCACCTTGCACAAGCAAGCCTCTATGCTGTGATTGTAATAAATGTCCTGATTGTTCTTTGATTTTTCTGCAGTCAGTGGAGGTAGCTGAGATGACTCCATTGTCTGTAGATCTGCTTTTTGTTCCCCTTAAGATGAACTAGCTGCTCCACTTGGCAGTCATAAGTAGTAAGTTCCTTTATGCCAACACCCTGTTCTGAGCAATATTTAGGATGGAAGGAAATAATTGTTGGAGCAATGGGACTGAGAAAACCCAATTTTTTAAATTATTTGGTGCCCTGAGCTTATATTCTCTGATGTTTAATAAAGTATGAACTTGGATTAAGGTTTTTCCTGAAGTCAGGGAATCCTAAAATCCCACTTTTCAGTGTGGGATTCTCTGATGTCTCCTCCTGGAATTGAACTGCGTGTATTAAGGAATGATGTTAATGAGCAATGAGGACATGGGTAAGGTCTGACTGTCATCTATTTTCATCAAATTTACAGAAGTGTGAAGTCTTTGAGTTATCTAACATTATGTGTCCTTTCTGTCAAAGGACAGTTTCTGTCAAATTTGGTTGATGTAGTCTGATGTCTGACAACAAACTACGACAAGACAGAAATCCACACAGGTATTGTGTCTATACTCTATGGATGGGTGAGCTTTCTTTCCTTGGAAATATGCACTACTGAGATAAAAGCATTTGAACTTTAAGGTGATAGTATAACAGCAGGTTTTATGTGATTAATTTGGTAGCTAAAAAGCTATTTCTTGTGCATCTTTCCTGAAAGCTGCTTGGGTTCCAAAGGCAGAATATTTAAGTAATTAATGTAATAGTAGAGCCATGGTTGATTGTGCATCACTTCTATGAAACCAAGTGCTATAAAAGTCAGACCTGAAACTCCAGCAGCTGTAAGCAGCAGCAGTCAACTCTAAAACATATAGCCTTGGTCTTCTAGGAGAAAACTGGTATATGAAATCAAAAAAGGTCATTTTTTATATACTCACCTGTTATAATTTTTTTTGGCCTGTTGAACAGTTCATACATCTGAATATACTGAGAGAGACAAATTATGAATTAGGAAGTGATTTATGGAAGAGTTAGTTGAAATATATATATATTTGGAGAGGATATCAATGTTGAGCATTAGTGTGTGAGGGAAAAATGGTAAGATTTTGTTTTAATTTCTAGGGAAAAAAAAAATACTGAATTTCACAGATCAGGGATGACATATAATCTCTTCGGCCAAAAAGTGAAATTTTGGAATGGAAGCCTGCAGGTTCCAAAATGAGACTGATGTTCCAGGGAGGCAGCAAGGTGGCATCTGATTATGAGTGATATTAGTAATACATGCAAGACTCTGTGGGAAGCAGAATTTTATATTGGAAAGATATTGCTGAGATACAATTAGTGAAAATAGATAAGTATTTTTAAAGGAGTTTTACCATACTGTAATATAGCTGTGATGATTTTTTCACTGGTTATAATTGTTATTAGGAAAGATTGTGAGCCATTTCAAACATTTGGGAGCAAACATTTGCTAGTTATACACACTGCAAAAACATCTGACCCTTGGGGGCAGTAGGCTCAGGTTATGAGAATGTTTGTGCTCTGTGTTTGTAATGTGAATTCATTTATTAGAGCAAAGGCAGATGGTGTGCCAGCACTGTGGGGAGGCACACAGAGGCATTGCTTGCAAAGATAGAAGCTATTAGCCAGGTAGGATGTTCCATTAGGGAACCTTTTTCATTCCCACTTCCTAGGCTGATGTGCACTGTTCATTGTGTTTGCAGCAGGGTGCTGTGAAATCAAGGAAGACAAGGGCACAAGAAAAAGACTAGGTGATTCTTCCAAATTAATAGTGATTTTGTGTATTTCTACTTAAATGATTCTGTTTGTCACCATTTACCCTCTTTCCCAGCAAATTTTAGGTCTCATCCTTGGAAAATTAGATTGCTTTTGAAAGTCTTTGCCAAGGACACAGGCTTAATTTGCATGCTTGAAAAATATATGATGCCAAATATTTAGAAAGGCAGCTGTGTGACTGAGAATACAAATCCAGCTGTTTTCCTCCTTTGACTTGTAAGAAGCTTCATATTTCACTGTCACTTCAGTGCTTTTTCACAGTTCCCACTTTGAGGTGCTGTGCTGTCTTAAGTTAGATGGCACCAATCAACTGCAGCTCTGGTTTCTGATGCATCCAAAGAAGTTAAAATGGAAATAAATGAGGGTAGCTACAGGAAAAAGTCAGAAAGTAGGGAAATTACAAGTAGATAAGCCTGCTTACTGTAGGTTCCACTCAGTATTTTTCCACAGCCCATTTCTCTGGACCCTTGGATTGCTTTTGTAAACTTGGTATGCTAGAGAAGCTGCTGTTCAATGGGATAATGATATCTTCAAACATACGGAATTGTTGAATTGTTGTCCATCTGAAATTTAAGGATATTCATAAGCATTTCTGGGATTTTTTTCCCCAACTTTGCCTTCAAACTTCTGTGTGAAATAAGACACTTAATTGGAATTATCATCTAATAAAAGCTTTTTTCATTAAAATGTAACAGACCTATTGCTATTTTGCTAAAACCAAAGTGTTCAAAAGCAGGATGGAAGAAGATAAGGAGAGAGGAAAGGAGGCTTGTTTTCATTACAAAGCTAGGAAATGTTCTGTTCTGTTTGTTTTATTTGCAAACTGAATTTCACAGGAACATGAAACTTGTTTGAAGAAGCCTCAAAACCATTGTCTTCAGAAAGATAGTTCTGAAATTCTGTAAAATTTCATAAACTTGGCTGTAATGATCTGGGTGAAGTCTCTAATCACATATTTCACATTTAGAATTTGAGAGTGCTTGGTTGAGTCCTTTCGGACCTGGCCTAAGGGAACATCACATTTGTGACCTCTTCACCAGATGAATCTGAGTCACTGAAAGTTGAACATGCAGATGTTTGGACATGCTACCTGATACAGCAGGATTCCCTCTTTGCTCTGTACAGTGTATACCACTAAGGACTTTTGCTGGCTTTGGATCAGTTTCAAGTAACAGTTTGAGGTTTTGGTTTTGCTTTTGGAAGCAGCTAATAAATTAAGGATCAGCAATCATCTGTGTAGTCTTGACCTGTACTTGGCTGGGAAATAATGGCCAAGGAAAAGCCTATTAGAAATGAAACTCGGGAGAGACAAGAACTCACCTCTAAGTAAACTGAAGCAATCAAGCTAATACAGAGCCAAGAATGTATTTTAGAAATAGTGAAAAATCTTCCTCTTACAGATTTTCCTCTATACAAAATACTAACCTGCCCCTAGGCTTAAGGGTTCCTTTCCAAGCTACTTTCCAAGCTCTGAAACCCATAAACCTTAAAGAAAGAGAAAATACCACAAATAGACTCTACAGTATTAGCCACAATCACCTCCTAAAGTAGGGCAGTGGTGTTCTCAAAAGCCCACTGCAGAGAGGGTACACCTAGCAACTAACCGAGAGCTTTAACCTCAATTCCGTAATGCACAGTTTGTACTTCATTTTCACAGACTTCTTTATGGGAGATCTTTTCCTGATTCAATCACCAATAGTAGATCAGTGAAATAAAATCATTTTGCAGTTAGAACAGATCTTAGGAAATATTAATAAAAAAAAAGGTTACCTGTGAATGAACTGATGAAAGAGCAAGACTGTTTTGTTAATGCTAGCAGCAACATAGTTTGTTCATGTGCCAGGTCAGCCTATTGTTTGGCAGGAAATTCAGTGTCAGACACCATTATGTTGTACTGTAAAAAAAAAAAAAACAAAAATTAATATCCTTGTCTTTAAAAATAAAAATTAATTAAAAAAAGCATTTTTCAAAAATTTCAAAAGATGAGCTTGAATGTGCCTGGCATGTTCAAACAGCATGCAACTAAAACTGTAGCTACAACAGTAGCATTATTCATATTTAAATACCAAACAAAGCTGAAGATGTGCAATGCCAGACTTTGCTCCTGTGGCACTCAAATGGTTTTGCAGCATAGGTAGCAGTAGTGTAACTCTCTGTTACTGTGATGATATGGTTTCTGTTTCATGTAGCCTTGTAGAGAGCTGTGTATATGTTACTGCCGATTACATTCATAAATATGAGTGAAGTATGAGGCATAAATATAAGCAAGGTATGAGAAATTTTCCTTTGTGGCTTGATTTGCCAATTCCTGGAGCCTTTCATATCATATGTCCTTACTTTAGCTAATTTTATCTTGCTATTGATTTTTATGGTGCCTATCTTAAATATTACCGGATGTGGAAAAATATATAAATTACTGGAATTGTAGATTGCAAAATACAACAGGAGAGTCTAAGAAACCAGGGCGAATGGAGCCCAAATGCCAAGTTTAACACTTGCCATCTTCCAACAAGGATTCTATTGAACAAACACCTTTAAAAATGTTCACTACATGCTTGTTGGGGTGATGTTTGGGAACCCTTGATTGGGACAGCATTTTTCTAGGTGCTGTGGACTCCAAGAGTAAGAGACAATCCCTGTCCTAAAGATTGTAACCATTCAGTTATGCAAGATGGGTAAGAAGAGGAAGAAAGGACATTCCCTTTGTGGTAAGACACAGAGATTGATATTTTCCCTACTTAAAATTTAAGTTAGTGTGAAAATGGAACTGAAAAAATTATCTCCTATATCTTGGTTCAGTATCTAACTAGCAAGCCATCTTGATGCAGAGCAGATCCTATATTAATGAGAGATACTGTTTCTGATGATGGAAAACCTGGTTCCTGAATGACTTCTCACTACAATTTGAATGACGAGTACCATTCTCAGCCCTGCTGTTGGTTCCCTGGGTGACTTCAAGCCTTTACTCTCACTTTCTGCCTTGTAGAGAAAAAGGAAACATATTGGAGTGAAAAGTTGAAGAATCATAAAATTGCTTAGGTTGAAAAAAATCTCTTAAGATCATTCAGTCCAACTGTTAACCCAGCTCTGCCAAGCCCACCACTAAACCACATACTTAAGTGTCATTTCTACAAGTCTCCAAAATACTGCTAGGCATGGTGAATCCACTGCTCTCCTGAGCAGCATGCTCTAGTGCCTGACAACCCTTCTGGTGAAGACATTTTTTCCTCATATCCAAACATCCCCTGGTGCAACTTGAGGCCAATTTCTCTTGTACTATCACTTTTTACTTGGGAGAAGGGATTGGTCCCCACTTGCCTACAACCTCTAACCTTTCAGGTAATGGTAGAGAGTAATAAGGTGTCCCCTGAACCTCCTTTTCTCCAGGCTACATACCCCCAGCTCCTCCAGGTGCTCCTCATAAAACTTGTGCTCCAGACCCTCCACCAGCTTTGCTGCCCTTCTTTGGACATGCTCCAGCACTTCAGTGTCTTTCTCAGGGGCCCAAAACTGAGCACAGGTTTTAAGATGTGGCCTCATCAGTGCCAAGTACAGGGGTATGATCACGTGCCTAGTCCTGTTGGCTCCACAGGTGTAGTGGGTCACAGACACTTTGCCCATGCATTATGGGATCTTCATTCTGCTCCCTGCCTCTGTCTTCCACTTCAGTGGGTACCTGGAGACCAACTTAAAGACTGAAGCGAAGGCAGCATTAAGTATGTCAGCCTTTTCCTTATCTTTTGTCACTACATTTCCTCCTGCATCCAGTAAAGAATGGAGATTCTCTTTAGCTCTCCTTTTGTTGCTAATGTGTTTATAGGAACATTTTGATTGTCTTTTAGAGTAGTGTCCAAAATAAATTCTCCTTGGGCTTTGACCCTTCTGATTTTCTCCCTGTATAACTTCAAGATATCCTTGTAGTCTGCCTGAGAAGCTTGCCCCTTCTTCCAAAGCTCATAAACTCTCCTCTTTTTTCCCCTTGCGATCCAGCCAAAGCTCTCTGCTCAGCCAGGTTTCTCTTCTATCACTCCAGCTTTTCTTAAGGCATGAGGTGATAGTCTGCACCTGCAATTTTACAATTTCCTTATTGAAGCATGTCCAGTCTTCCTGGACTCCTTTGCCCTTCAGGACTGCTTCCCAAGGGACTGTATCAACAGTCTTCTAAACAGGCCACAGTCTGCCCTCTGGAAATCCAAGTTAGTCATTCTGCTGATCCCCATCCTTCTTTGAGAATAGAAAACTATCAATTTTTTTTGTAATCACTGTACCTAAGATGGACTCCAATCATCATATCACCCATCCATCCTTCTCTGTTCACAAACAGGTCCAGTGCCTTCCCTAGCTGGCTCCCAGTGTCCAGAAGTTACCTTCTACACACTCCATGTACCTTCTACACTGCTTCCTATCTGCTGTGTTGTCTTTCCAACAGACACCTGGTAAGTTGAAATCTGCCCACAAGAAATGGTTCATAAGAAACCAGGAGGTACATTTGGTATGAGTTCTAATTCATATTTTCCTACTGCTATAAACATCAAGTTTTTAAAGTGTAGGAGATTGAAGAGTTAACCATGATGCAACCTTGAAAAGCAAAGGATTAGGTAAAAGGAGAAAACTGGAAGTACTTTCCCAAATTAGGAATGGGTATGGTAAACATCTCCTTCTGTCAAAGCTGAGGGGAAAATTCATGTGACTTCCTTGAGAACTGATTTTACGTCTAGGGTGGCAAAGGGGCTTGCACTTCAGGATGGGAGATCTAATGCATCCCCCTCCTTGCTGGCCCTTGATGTTGGGAAAAGAGGAACCACTGATATAGACACACCTGATTAAAAAAACCTGATGAAGTAGGTAGTCAAAGTCCATGGGACGGAGTGGTGGTGTAGGAGAGGTGGGCGAGGAAGAGAAAAATGTGCTAAAGTGCCTTAATTAACACAGTTTTGGTTTTAGTGGCACAGTTTCAATTACAATAGAATAGTGCCAGGCGCACACCTTGTGTTAGTATGTTACAAAAGTGTCAGTGCTGCTCTTCACCTGATCTCTCCTGTCTTTCCTATCTGTTCCTGGTCAGGACACTGCAAATCCCACTCTTCCCGTAAGGAAGTTGGAGGGCTGGTTATCCCTGTGTTTGTGTTGTTTGAAATGAAGTGAAATGAAGTGAAAAGCTTCTTTTACCATCACCTATCTGTAAAATATTTATCTTCTTTCCAGATTGTCTCTATTTTGTCAAGCTCTTGTCTGGGCTGGTTGGAGTTTTAGTTTTAGTCTCATGTTTTATCCCTAAATATGGGATAAACTTCTTATCATGAAGTTACTTACTTGTGTAAAAGTTGGATTTTTTTTTTTTTTTTTTTTNTTTTTTACTCTTTGCTGAATAAGTAGTTTGATAAAATGGTGAAGGAAGGGTGTTTGGAATTTTGTTCACAAGGTGGCACTAGCCACTAACCAGTGCTACCTTCTTTTAAGTCCCAGCGCTGAATTCTCTAAATCTTTAACAGGGGGTAGAAGAGCTGGAAATGATTAACTAGGCCAGACAACTAGGAGTGTTTTCTTACATTCAGTCAAGTCCTCTTTTTTGTGTATTTAAATAGCACTTGGATATCAAAGAAAGGGAAACTTTTTTTTTTCCAAAGAAAATATAGTTACATCTCAGAGATACTTGTTATTTAGAGGGAATGTTCTTAGCACAATGCGAGGGAGGGTATGGTGAAATACTATTATTGTTAATGGCAGCTGAGATTCTAATTGTCTCTAGCCATGAAGCAAAAATTTTGTTGTATTGACAACTTGCTGTTTGTTTCTTTTTCATTTGTGTCTCACTGTATTGATCCTTAGAAACTGCAGTGCTTTACACAAATTTCAAAATGCTGTGCCTTAATAAGATATTTCTTTAATTCCACAAAAATATTAGACAAATCTCTGTTTATATTAACTGCTCCCATTTTTCCCACTTCTTTTGTTTTACAGATGAGCTACTCTCCAGTTGAGCAGCCATTCAAGCAGAGACGCATAGGATGCACAAGACCAGAGAGGGAGTATGTCTCTCATTAATTACTGTGTGAAGTCAGCTGCAGTTTAGTTTGCCATTTTACAGTTTCTCCTACTTTAGTAATCCCCATTTTGTCTCTGGCAAGCCCTTCACATTTCAAGGGAAAGAAGAATAGAATAAAATTACATTTACATATTGCTGGCTTTATATCTCACTTTAAGCATGGTGTGTTCAATATAATCCATTACTGCTAATAAGCTACATGTAAAATTGCCTCAACTGCATTTTATGAACAGTAATTCTTTTTCAATTCTTCATTTCAAGAACAGTAATTCTTTTGGATATTAAATATTTGAAGTAGTGTAAATGCTAATTAGCTGGCAGTGCAGAAACTGATTTGTAAGAACATAGCTCCTCTCCTTGCCTTTCTTATGTCTTCCCTTCTCTTTATTTAGAGCTGGCTTCTCCTTGCCTTTTGTACAAGTGAGTGGGATCTGCAAACCCCAAAATAAATGACTTCATGGAAAGGCTTCTATGAATGAAACCTATCAGCAAGTGAAGTGCAGAGGCTGTATCCAAATGGCTCCTTACCAGTAGCTGGATGATAGGCAGAAACAGACTGAGAGCTGCTTTTTCCTCCTTCCCAAAGCATCGGTGAGTGGCACTAGCAGGTATGTTCAGCCCAGGAGAAGTGCCACAAAGGACTTGCTTCCCACAGGCAGCCTCTCCAGGCACAGTTCTTTCCTGGCCCCTCTCCAGGACTGAGAGAGAACAGGCACTATGCCTATCTACAAATGCATCTGGTGGGCTCTTTTGCTTAGGGCCATCTTACTTGTTATCAAGGGCCTGATCTTACAAAATTATTCGTTGTGCAGTAAACTGAGTTTCTACTGACTTTGATGGAGGGACCACACCATACCACAGATCTGGGCCTTGAGACATTTCAAGGAAAGGTTACTTTGATTGGGAACTACAGTAGGGGTTAACAAGTGAGTATTAATACTGTGGTACTGGGCTCCTGGTACATTATATTCTTCTTCCTTCCCTTTCTACCAAACTTGTCCTGATTTCTACCATATAGAAATATCACCTGGCCTACCTCTTCTTCTCTAAATACCCAGTGATTGAAAAGAAAATGTGTCATTGTCTTATCAAACATTCCTTTGTCTGAATACAGGTTGAGAGAGCAGCAGACCCAGAGAGAGCAGCAGCTCAGAGTGTACTGGTGTATTTGGGCAGGACAAGAAGTCTTCCCTCCATGGTTAACACAGGCTGATGGGGTGTCACTGCTGTGGGACTGTGATCTTTCCCTAGTTACAACAGGATTGTGTTCAGCCTTGGCATATTTTTTCACTACACACTGAAACAGAGGTGGAGCAAGGGTTTTGAGTGTTACCCTGTGGTGTTTCTCTTGGCAGGTTGGTCTGTGTCACTGCCTGTGGATTTGAGGAGCTGTGGCCAGCTCACAGGGGAGAAGGATGAGACTGGATGTTTGCCCTCTACAATGCTGGCACCAAGGTTTTCAGAGCCAGCAACTGTACAGCCTGCAAGGGAGATACTAAATCTGGCATCTGCCCTTTGATCAACAGGTTAGATGATCCTGGCTCACATACTGAGGCTGCATCCAATACAAAGCTAGAGAAACCACTACAACCCCAGCCTTCCTGTTCCCCACCCCTCCAGCACTCTTTAGCACCAGGCAGGACAGCAGAATCACTCGGACAATTTGCATCTGGGATGTGCAGTGCCCTCCTCGGCTCCCAGGCTCACAGTGTCCCTGTGTGCCATGTTCTCAGCGTGACACTGGGAACAAAGGGCATCTGGAGGCCTGCAGCACGGCTGCTCCCTCCTGTCCTCACAGCAGGTGGATGGAAGCACGGCCGCTCCGTGTCGGAACGAATCGGTGGTCACAGCTGTCTGCAGGGCTGGGCTGGATTGTTGTACCCCGGAGAAGCCGTGGCACGAGCAGTTGCAATGGGGTGCTGTGCTGTGTGGAGCCAGCTCATATTGTGCCAGGCTAAGCAATTAGGGCTCGTCCACTGAATAAAGCAGACTGTGACCAGGCTTCTTGGCACCGTGCGACTATTGCACGGCAGATGGTACATGGGGTATAATGGACTAAGAAAATATTCGGAGTGGGGAAAATGTCACAGCTAAAAATGGCACCACAGCTGACGTGGCTCTGCAAAAGCAGAGGCCAACTGAAAAAGCCTTTTATGCAGACAGTGGGTACCAGCAAAAGATGAAGACAGTCATAAGACTTTTTCTTTCCTCCCATTCTGAATCAGTTGATATGTCTCAGACTTTTGAATTGTGACCAAGTAAAGAGAAGAGGTGAAGAGTGCATTCTCTTGTTCTGTTTTTAGTATGTTGGTAGAAACTGAAAATGCAAACTGAGACACCAGCTTTTTCCATCAAGGGAGTTAACATGGTCCATGATGAATTGCCATGCACTGAGTGGGGTCAGAGAACATTATTAACTAGACAACAGAAAACTGACCAATTATATTGATCAATTATAATTTTCAAGGTAGAGGGAAACCCCCAGGCTGGTTTAAAAAATTTAAGAAGGTTGAGCAACTGTCCAGTCCTGTGGAGGTACTAGAAAAGGAAATCTAAAAATTAGAAGAAGTGCAGAAAAACATGCCAGAACTCAAAATGTGCTGATTTAGAGACTTTGGCAAACGTTGTTAGCCAAGACAATGCAGCATTTGAAAGAAGGATGAAAAAACACCCACGGGTTGCATTACTTGCTAGTGGAATGCGAAGAGTATAGGTTGGGCTGGAGGATAGTGAGCTTCAGGCAGAAAGAAAAAGTGGACACTGGTTCAACTGAAGCAAATCTCTCCTAAACCACATATTTGTGTTAGCAAAGACCTAGCCAGTGAGTCACAAGCTGATATGATCCACAAATGTAGGAATATCAACATAACAGTGCTGATATGACCGAAGAGAAAAAGATAAAGCCTTAGTGATGGTGGTAAGGGATGCAAATTGACAATCTTGGTAAGCTGTGAGTGGGCTCAATTAGTTTGCTGGGTGCAGACATGAGGAGGATACTAATTGTTATGGGAATCTGGGACTTAACTACTTGCTGACCTCCTAAGGTGAATGTGCCATTAGAGAGGAAGGAGGCCAAAAAAAAGATAAAAAAAATGAGAGTGTGTGTTCACAGATCAGCAGTATTTGTAACAGCAGGAAACATAGACAGCCCCACTGTCCCATACCATTAGTACAGCTCTCCTTGCCCTGAGGCAGAAGACTGGGGAGAGACAGGCAAATTGATTACACTGTGAATCATAAAATCAATAGGGCAGTTAACAGCATAGATACTCATTTGCTTATCGTTCTGAGAGAAGGTAGAAATCCAGAATTATCCACTTCATATATGAACCCTAAGAAATTTAATAAGCATTTAGATTGAAGAATTCAAACATTTTTTTTTAAGCTTGATGCACCAGCAAAGTTCTGAAAGCCTGAAAAGAGTGCATATGTGCATTTAAACCTTCTGCATTGCTGGGATACCGCTTTCTCAGATAAACTGTGGGACTTGGACCTGCAGCATGGCCCCCAAATGACTGAATGTTGGGATGGGCTTGTTTGTGCACCATTTCCCTTTCTCTCTCTTGAAGTCCTTGATTTTATTAAAAAGGAGAATAGTTTTGCAGGCAGGGAGAAAGCCAGAAAGGTCTCCATGGGTATTCCCTTGTATTATGGAGTATACTCATCCTGCTATCCATAAGATGCCACTTGGGATTTCTTGGCTCCTGAGCATTTTCACCGGAAAATGTAGATAACAGTAACTGGTAAGGGAAGCAAATGTTTCTACAGAGCAGTGCTTTGGCAGCCTGGGTCAGTGCATGGGTCTCCTTCTCTCAGAGGCAGTGGTGAGACAGATATTCTACTAAGTGATGCAGTCTCTGGATGATCAGGCCTGTGCAGTGTGTAGATCCTGAGTAGCACTGGCTGTGCATACTTGGGAAGGGAGCAGTGCTGCCCTTTTTGGGATATTCCTCTGCAGAGTCCCACGTTGCACAGGGGTACATGTTGCAGCCAGCAGACTGCACAAGGCAGACCTCTGTGCCTGCTTGGCTCAGGGTGATTTCTGAACCAGGACATCAAGCCCATCAACAAGGATCTCCTATCTAGCCCTTTTCCCCATTTTCCACAATGTCCTTCTTTATTATCCTCCTACTTTAAGTAAGTTGACTTGCCTGGCTTTCTCCCTTCAGTGTTGCAAGCTATCACGTAACTAACACTTGTTACGTGTTATCTGTATGTGTTAAACATTTCCTTCCTTCTCTAGCTTATTGTCTTTAGACTGCAGATATTTGAGGGCGAGTTTGATTTCCTGTATGTTTATGTAGTACTTAGAACAGCAGAATCCAAATATGGGCTGAAACGATCAGGATTTAGTCACCCTTATTCTTATTTATCATTTATAAAAGATAAGTTCTACAGGTAAATGCTCTGTAAAAAGGCACTGCTTCCTCCACTGGCCTTGCTTCCTGCTGTGCCTCATTTGCGTGGAGGATGCGTTGGAGGAAATTGCTCTACACACAACATGGAGTTAATTGCACTTTATTATACCTTTATTCAATGACCCTCTTTTTTGTTTTTTCTTTTAATTCCTCATTTTTCTGTTAAGCCCTCACAAAAATGTAGACAATTCACATTATTTTTCTGATATGAGCGCAAGAGCCTTCTGTCTTGTTCTGCTGACTAGTGAATTCAAACAGTTTCACATCACTCTTCACATACAGCTCAGCAGAGTATGTCATCCAGCCTCTTCCCTTCAGCCATTTGCTCCCATCTCAGCAAGTTCTTAGTCTAAAAAAGATCCTAAATTGCATTAATTGGTCTGTGAGCTGACATATAATGCAGCCTGGTTTGTGAGGCTGCACAGAAAGAGGGAAAACCTCATTCCCTATAAACTAATGTTCTAATTTCTTTTAGCCAAGTGGTGCTTACAGATATTTATGCAAAGAAAGCACTTATGCTCTTTAGATCCAGTCCCAGTGCTTATTTCCCAGTTCTGGGTCATGTTCCCTTCAGAAAGTAGGCATGAGAGGAAGAGCAGTCCAGCTGAAGTGAAGAAGTGAGAGATTTGAGGGGAGGAGAATTATGTTTAAATTACAAATCCATTT